CGGTATCTTCTCCCACCATCGTAATCTCCGAGATGAACCCGCACGATGACTTGATGAAGTTTTTACACGAGGCGATGATCATCTTCAATGAGAATCCAGGTTTCCAGAAGGAGATTTCGTTCTTCGGGGGGATCAGGTTGTCATCAACAATGACGGAGAACTTCTTCAAAACGAGGAGAGGACCCAGCATCCATGTGGAAAAGCAGATAATCGGCAACGCCAAGTACTTCCAGGGATCCTATGACCTTGGCAACGTATGCTACACCAAATACCTCAAGACCATACTGGAACCCGGTGTATTCCGCACTATATTCGGAGATGATCCCACGGAGGAACGGGTAGGTGACATGGTGGAAGCGCTGCTGGGCATGTTCGAAATTGCTCAACTCTTCAGGCACATGTTCAGGAGATGGGGTGACATCGAAGCTTTGAGGACGGGATTAGAGGAATCCATCAAACGCGTCACTGCATCGCTGTACGACAGGACAACGTATGAGAACCGAAAGCGATCGATGATTAGAACCATGGACCCGCACTCTGATGAGGCGGCAAACGTGGCGCTGATTCTCGTTCGCATGAGGACTATGCCGCTTCCTGAATTCGACATCGACCACTTCTTCGAGATTGGAAAAGAACCAGAACAGGGAACAGAAGCCACTGGCGAGCCCGAGGCCGAAGGTGTCGATATGGAGACCGAAGGTGTCGATATGGAGACTGAAGGCGTACAGGAGAAGGAGGAGCAAGATGTTGACATGTCCGACCCGAAAGCATCAATACTGCACGCCATCGACGAATTTGAGAAGAAGATCGGGCGGGCAGAATTCTGCATCCACTGCATGGAGTCGGGACACACCACTCTCAATTGCGAGAAGACCCTTTCATCCTCACCAACAGTCACCTCGGTGTTGAGCGATTGGAAGAAGAGAGTGAAGGGAGAGGTTGCACCCGACGATGTACCATCAGGACATCCAACCGAACAGCCTAAGAAGAAGAAGCAGAGAGCGTCGCCCACTCCAGATAGAAAGGTCGACAGCGAGTTCAGGCGCAAAGAAATGTTAAAAGCAAGAGTCGTGACAATGTTCGACCATGACGGATTCACCTTGATCGAAAGTGCTGATGGAGTCGAAGGAGGACCACATTCCTACAATGGGCGGAAGCTTGTGGAAGCAGGCCCTAAGGATATGAAAGAGGTGTATGAATTTGTCGAGAAGGCATTTGTGCACTCCAGTTCCCTCACACCAAAGGCATGTCATCACTTCTATCCCCTACCAACACGGAGGGAGAAGGGATACAAGCCGATCGACCCCATGACGATGGTCGGGAAAGTTGAACTAGTACCGATCAACGGAGTCACTTTCGCTGCAAAGAACTCCGACTACGGCAACCACAAGTATCCGACTCCAGACTGTCGAGTACCTGAATACAGCCAAACGAGCCAGGCCCTGAGTCGTCGATTGGGAGCGAAGTTGAGACATCGAATTGGACGCCAGTTCAGGACAGGAGGAAGACTCGCACCAATCAAATGCGATGAAGGCGCATGGGTGTCATGGGAAGACCTGTTAGGTGATAATGCAGTTTGGGAAGACGGTTATCACTACGGCAACATAGATATCGTGACCAAGAAGGCGCGTTTGGAGAAGTACTTCGACCAAAACTATGAGTGTTTCCGCATGACCAAGAGGGTCAGATTCCAAATGTTGGCGGTCCGCGTTCACCCTGATGAACTCAATGAGCCTGATGACCCGATGGAGAAGGAATGGATTAACGAACTCAAGGACATGGGGATCTCTAAAGGAAGACTCCACCATAGCGATGGATGGTGCTTTCCCGTGGCTGTAAGAGCAACCTCGGCACACTCAACGGACGGCGGAGGTTATGACGTTACCATTGACATCGACCACATTGGATCGAGAATGACCAACGACATGGCCCTATCTATGGTGACTGCATTTCACGCTACCAATCTCGGAGCGCTGACTTCAATCATGCGACGAGGGCTAGTGCCGGGAGGTCTCGGTTCATCGGGAAGGGATTCTATCCACTTCACATGTTTTCCGCCATGGGCCTGGGAGCAGGGCTACAAGGGTAAACCTTGGCTGGGTCGTAAGGTCGCATTGAGTGATCGCCCAGTGGTTCTCTACATTCCGGTGTGGAAGCTGCAGGAGTACGGACTTCTCATCTCAGCGACTGGCTCTCTATTGGTTGAGAACGTCGTTCCCTTCGATGAGGTTAAAGGGGCATGGTTGCAATGCGACAATGCGGAACCCGGACAGCCTGAGAAGATCGAATGGATCCGGTTACTCAATGGGGAACCCGACCCTGGAAGCTACCTTGTTCTAGAGTCCAAATACGGAAACCCGATCATGATTCCACGCTTTCAAAAGCTTGAGAGCTTAGCGGTTGAGGTTCAGGACGATACCTACTCCGAGGACGACGCCAAAATCTCAAAGCTGTTGGGTATGATCGAGGAGAGTGGTGTTTACCCAGAGTATGATAACACCGAGTGGCAGGAACTCTTCGAGGAGATCGTGTATCGCCGAGCGATGAAAGACTACGATTCAAGGCCGTGTCCTAACTGTCTTGGCGAAGTCGATGTGCGATTGACGATATGTCCGCACTGCGTAGCGGTTTTGATCGCGAATGGGAAGCTCACACATGTGGTACCCAAGGAGACAAGGGACCGCAATCAACGATCACCTCCGAAAGATGTCCCAGCCAGTTCTTCCGGTGAAACAACCTCTGCTGCAGGTGCAAACATCGATGAAGTCATCAAGAACGCACGCAAGACAGCCGAAGAGGTCATTGAGATCGAGGAATCCGAAGGAGAGGAAGAGGAGGAAGTTCCTATCATTTTGAAGGAACGACCGGACGAAGCTGAAGGCGAACCCGAGTATCGGGAGGTCCCTCAAGATGGATACGGGAATGAACTTCCGAAGCCTTTCCCCTTCGCGATTGACGAATTGCCGCAAGAAGCTGCGATCCCCATCGACCACAACTTTGCCGTCACGCAGCAATTTGATTTGAGGTTGATGAAGTTGATCAAGAGCTTGGCCAACGCAACGTTCGACATCAACTGCTTTGAGAGTCGTGAAGATGTACTGCGAATGTTCGACGATGGACAGCGGCATGACACTCCGCACAATAGATGGCCAATAGTACCGAAAGATCCGGATACTGGGTTTCCAAGACGTCTCAAGAGAGACGAGGTCGTAGGCATGAGCAGATGGACCGACGACGGGTTTGCAGCAGAAGCGTGGCAGATCTATGAATTCCACGCCAATGTTGTTCATCCGATGATGATCACTGCAATCCGCTGCGGGCTTAGCCACAAGTACCTCAAAGAGGTCGGCAGCACTCAGCGTAGCATGAGTGATCCAAAGGCTCGAAAGTCTGAGACCCAGGATGAGATCATCGAGAAATTGGCATTCATCTCAAATTTCATCAGACGTATGATCAAGAAGACCTTCGGAGCGAGCCGATATAGTTACTACCAGAAACCAGATGACGAAAGTGCCGCTCCATACAAATTCATCGACATTAGTCCCGCCATCAAATCGGAGAGGAAGAATGTCACGAAGGAGATCCTCGTTGCATGCCGATACTATGGCATAGAGGTATCCGATATCCAAGAAAGGAAATTGAAGTCCTTCGTGGAGCAGATCCGAGCGGGAAACCCAAGGAACGTTGAGCTCATCAAGGACTACATTGGCTTTGTCGGCGCTGACTACATGCGACAACTCACGAATGGTTGAGCATTGGGGTCATGCCGACATGCCACTTCCGGTGCTTCAAGTACTGAGGGATCTCGGGTAATTCATGATGACCGTTTTGGCATCATGGGAGTGAGATAGGATTATGTCTCACACCGTTGGTAATCGCATGATACCATAGGTAGGTGCACGTTTTCCGCTTGTAGCTCCATCGCCTGTTTGATCCAACTTTCAAGCGATTGCAAGATCTTTTGCTAATTCAATTCAATAGGACATACTGGTTGACCTCCAATACACTTTTGAGAACGAGATTCGTTCTCCGGTTTTTACATCCACTCATCTCCCTTCCCCGTCGAAGTACGGATGTGGGGGGTGTCAATAGGGATCGGGTCCCAGTATAGTCGCTATACAGGTACATGCCATATACATTTTGGCTCAAGTGCCCAACCAGGTAAAAAGGAGCTTTAGCGCGCGAGCTTCATGTTGACCTAAGAGCTAGAACGGGGCCAGGGCACACCTTTCCATCCGTTCGCAATATATATATATATTTATTTATTGCAATGATATATTGATATATGTCAAGTGAGTCAAGTCATAATCATCAATGATATTATACCAGCACCCTCCAACAGGTCTCCTTTGGAGGCTTTTTCTGACCTCGCAGGATATCACTTTGTCTAGTACTTGGACCATATTCAAACGATAAACAATCACAATTGATGTTTTCCTTTTCACTGAGGAGAAGCACAGCACTTTCGTGTGCGACAGATGGCTTTCAAACACAAGTTAGGGGATATAAGGACGTCATGATTCTCATATCCTGAGGGTGTCGTTTGGTCGCAATGTCCGTTGGCCATGTCCCTTGAATCGAGGCTTTGTCTCATGCTTCCCAGCAGCGATTCAGTCACAGACCGGGTGATGAACCGGGGTGAGGGTGACTCGTGGCTACGATGCAGGCAAGTGACCGAGTCTTTCCCATGCAAAACCATGAAATCATCCGAATTCCACAAACAAGATCCGCCATGAGGGAAACCTGATGCCATGAGGGAAACCTGAGAGCATTTCCATGTCGGGCACAGCCTTCTTCAACAAAATACATTGCGTTCCTTGGCCATGACTGGACAGATTTAGCATGAGCCCGTAAGAAATTGAGAACCAGAGACTACTTTCCACTCAATCCAGTTTTTGCGCAGCTGGGTAATACATGGCAAGATGCGCGCTGTACAAGCTCCGAATCCACAGCAGTGCTCGGATCACCACAGCAGTGCTCCGGCTCGTCAATCCTCTCAGGATGGGGAACCTCATCGATGGCTTGGGTGGTACCAGCCTCTCACCCAGCGAGCTCAGCGCCATGAACATCACCACAGCAGTACTTTGGACCACAGCAGAGCGCGGATCGACGGCAGTGGGTTGGTTTGGTGATTGTTGTTTTAATATGTTTTAATATTGTTATTGTTATCACAATTGTTTGTTGAATCAAGGGCATGTTTTTGTGGAGCAATTAGTAGACGTCGACAGTATTCGACACTGACACCCCACTAAACTTGAAAGTCTATGCGCATATACATTGAGTATGCCTTGACCTTTGACACCACCATACACCACCATAAACTGTTCCGCTTCCGTGGCCATCTGCAAGGGTTCAGGATGGGTTTGGCGTACTTGGATGGAGAACAAGGGTCATCCATTTTGACGTACTTGAACCTTGGACGTGCTTTGTTTGCCTGAAATAAAGTATTTTTGACATCTCCTGCTGCTGTTGACTACTGCGGATGAATGGACATTCTTCACATCTGAGGACTTGGAGGCCATGGCGAAGGAGGCCATGATGACTCGAGTGGCTTGGTGTTCGGAACGGCCAAGGGGGGTTTTAACGGGGGGTGTCCTTCAGCCGCAAAGCTGTACTCCCCTCAACCCGCCGCCCATGGCTCTCGCCGATTCTCGTTCGTGATTTGATCTCCACATGATTTGAGCACCTGGCGGGCGAGGAAGAGCACATGATTTGACCTGCGTCGCCAAAGGAGTTCGCCGCCGACGGCTGGTGAGTCGACGCTCATGTTCGGACCTCTCCGTGGGTCTCGAAACCCCCACGGCTGGTGTCACGAACGATCATGGGAATTCAACAAGTTGAAATGAAATAAGGATTCATACACCTCCCAAGTTGATTTGGACATCCTCTAGCATATGCGGGGTGTGTCAATCAAGAGTCTACATGACATGCCAGGAATCCAAACCTGAAGATGATTCTAGTAGCAAGAAGCCCACTAGCAGCTCCTGGCATTACTACTAGGAACAAGAAGCTACTAGTAGGAAGGTGCCTTACTACTAGTAGCAAGACGTTGCTAGGTTGGAGGCCATGGCTAGTAGTAGCAAGAAGCTACTACCCCAAAATCCAGGTGGGCGAGATTGCTCTGCAGTTCATTGCGCTGCTCGGTCACCACTCCTCCGGGATCAGGGATGACAAGGGGGCCCAAAGGCGTGCGACGTGAGCCCCCAGTCCAGGAGTCCAGGGGTTTTCCTGGAGTTCGAGGAGGAAGCTGTTGCGCGTTCTTTTGCCGTTGTAAAGTTCTGGACTTTTCATGATTTTCATCTGAAAGATTCGGAAGACGATTGGAGCTGTCTTGATGCGTTTCCAGACATGTCATGACTCCCGTCAAGTCTCGACTGCAAAAGGCCCCGAAGCAGCGAGAAAACGTGTGAAACGTGGTCTAATAGGTGCTTGTTTCCAGTTCCAGCTTTTTGTTTTCCTATGTTTGCCTTAAGTTGGGGGACTGAAATGCATGCATTTGAGACGCCTTGTGCTCTTATTCCCACCCCTTGGGCATTGGAACTGTGGACCCCTTGGCATAGCCGAGCGTAACATCACCTTCATACCCAGGAAAGGTTGGATAACCTTTGTAACATTTTAGAACCTGTTTTGGGGAAGTGGTCTCCGCAGTCAACAAGGACAGGTAGAAAAAACACCTTAACCTTCTTTCATTCCAGAAAAACTTAAGGAGCCAGCCTTGACTGCATACTGAAGCAGTTTTTGCTGCCTGGGTTTCTTTGTGGCGAGGATTGGCGGAGGTGTCCTGGTGGCAGCGGCCATGCAGGGCTTTGGCTTCTCCTGGTTCACTGCACACCAGGTGGCCAAGATGCGACCCCTGTACCTGCGGCGCATAGTGTAGTTGCTGACTTGTTAGGTGCACACCTGATGAACATCACTGTGACGTGGGAATGGAGAAGCCATGAGAAACCTAACCAAAGGATTGCAAGTCCAGGGTTGGTTCAGGTTGATGGTGGAAGATGATGGAAGAACATCCTGAAGGGGACACCGTGTGGCTTCCGACCGGTGAGACTGACAGACCTGACTGTGGGTCCCGAAGGAGGTGCCAGGTGCGCCAGGTGGAGGCTTCTTAAACATCGAATGGGTGCCCTCCAAGCAGAAGTCCAAGGGAAATGACGTGCAGTGCATATCTTTTGGCATTGCCAGAGCGGAAGAGACACATCCAAGAAGAAGAATCAATAGTATGCGCTTTTGTTTATTGACAGGAGTTATGCCATCATTGTCATTGTGCATTGTTTACTCACATTCCTCCACGCAGACAGCTTGAGAGGCACAAGTACAATCATAGAAGCAAAACTGATTGGTGCTTGTGAGTAGATGTTCACCGCCATCATCAGCTGTGAAAGATATTCAGTGAATGGGAAAGAAACTAAACAATGACCTGTGAAATTGCCATTGCTGCTTGCGAAGACCAAACAATGGCATGTGTAGTTTCTATACTACCAGGAAACCTGTGACGAGGGCATGCAAGAAGCTGTCCTAGTGGATGGCACTTGCCACTGTTGTTCTCACCGTGGTCTATGTTTTAAGGTTTTTGATCGACTCGTCCCAGAGTCTAGTGATAGCATGTGGTAGCTGGATTCACTGGGTGCTGCACGTCGGAGTTAGTCGAAGCCCTGCTGCATCGCTGGAGGTACTTGGATGCCATGCTGCATCGAGATGTTGGCTGGTTTGACACTCATTCGGTGGGAGCCCTCCCAGGCGTGGGGGGGAGGAGGCGGTAGCCGAGGAATCGTAGTGGCTTCTATAGCTACTACCAGTAATGCCAGGAGCTACTAGTAGTTTCTTGTTACTAGTGATGCGCCTTGTGACCAGAAGGAAAGACTCGGACCCTTCCTTTACAGAAGACCAGGCGACCCAGCAGGGAGCCACAATCACCCCAGGCCACGGGTTCGTCTCCTTCCCCAGCTTCCGGGGACTTTGTTCGGCGGGTTTTCGTTGCTTTTGGGACGGACTTTGCTCCCAAAATGCCAGTGTGCCAGCCGCAGACGGAGCCTCCGTCGCCGAGAACTCGGTGTCCTTGTGGGCGATTCTTTGGCGAGTGCCGACGTGAAGACAGTGGATTGAGGGTGGTAGATGGCACAAGTTGTGTCCCAAGTTATTTGGTGGTTTACATGTGTTTGTTTTTTTGCATGGACCCCCAGTGCCATCATACCATCTTGAAACCACTTTAAAGCCGCAAAAAAAGACACCAACTCGATGACGCTGGGGGCACTGGAACTCATTGTGGCAGGTGAGATGGCCTCAGACTTGGAGCAATTCCAAGAAGGCCCGAGTGAGTGATCGCCGGGGTCAAGCTGGGCGGCGCCCCCGCCGGGGGCAGTGGGCGGGGCTGTTTTTTTGGCCTCCTGGTGGCCGGTGAGTTAGCTGAAAGCTGGAACAGTGCACACAATAACCCAGACACTCCATGTATGCCATATATGCCTACATTGGGGTGGTTTTGAGGGGTCAATGTAGGCATATACATGGAGTGTCTGGGCAATGGAACATGCGAAGAAGGTCCTGAAAAGAATACGCATATATTACGGAACCCTTTCGAGCTGTCGGTTTGTATAGAGATCGACCGGGCCGCTCGCTCAGCTCATTGCGGCCATTCCGGTGGTGTGTTGACACCAAATTTCCACGCAAACATCCCCAAACTGAGGTGGTTGACAATGGTTGACCATCCAAATTTGGATAAGAAATTGATAGACATATTGTTCTATTTTTGAAATTTTGCTTGAACTGCGATTTCTGTGTTGACCCTTTAATGTCATAACTTGGGGCTCCAATCGTCATGCATCACAAGAGCTCGATCCCTAAACCACCGAGTTGAGCAACGTCACACGGTCCCGGGGACGGTCTCCGGGACCGACGCGTGGAGGGCGGGACGGGAACGCCCGGTGGGTGGTTGCACGGCCGGAGACCCGAGCCGCCTTGAGGACCGGACGGCGGGACGGAGGGTCCGTTTCTTCCCGAGGCTTCGGAGCTCATTTGGGCGTGGCTCTGATGTCCTTCTCTGGCTTGTTCACCGGCTTGGCCGTGGGCTTCAGTCTGCCACTGGGCCGGTGTTTTCAGCGGGGTTTTTACGGGTCCCGGGTCAGACGGTGCCGAACCCATGTGGTGCCCCAGACTCACGTGGCCGGGAGGGATGAAGGGAAGAGAGCTGGGGAAGTGAACGCCTGAGGCGAACCCAGGTGGTTTTGGAGGGTTTTAGGTGGTAAAACGGGGCAGTGTTTTTCATTTGTGTCCAGCCCAGTGCCACTTGACATACCGTCGCCAGGTTTCATTGGATCGTGAGATGGTAGAAGATGTGTATAAAATGCCTGCCACTCACTGGTCGATCTTGAATTACAGCATGAACAGAATCGAGCATGTTTCAGCAGTTCAGCTGCATCAGACGTGCTCAGCACTTACACTTGACCCCAAGTTCCTCATCATCAAACCACGGGTTGAAAGAAATCAGGTCGAGTCGGGAGCGAGCTGCCTCAATACCATCGTAGGTTGATCGCGCAGTTGGTCGTCCAATGTTTCCCGTGTTTTTTTTCCGCAGGTCCGCTCAACACCAACCATTCATTCTCAGCAACTCCCCCGTCCGGTCCCGGCGTTAAAAACGAGGAGCCCAGCCCGGCCCAGGCCCGGTCCATCAGCATCCAACGACGGACGATAGGGACGGAGAGACGGGCTTTTCGCGACCGGGACGATGACCATTAATTATGTTTCCCCTGACAATCCCTTACCCATGTTTGCCCTCCATGGGTAGACGACCAATGATGACCATTACCCAGACACTCCATGGGACGGTTTTTTCGGGTCAATGTAGGCATACAACATACCACACATGGAGTGTTCCATTTATTTTTAGGAACTACTCCGGGACGGGCGGATCGTGGGGGTAGGTCCTGGCAGATCTCCTTGTTGATGTTGGCCACCTTGCCGTTGATGGCACTCGGCGCCTTGATCATGGCCACCTCCGTGCGCGATGCCATGCGCCGTGGCCGCATGCGGGCGAAGAGGGCAACCAATGAAGGCAGTCCACAACCATCCCTAGTAGCTTCTTGCTACATCTTGCTACTAGTAGTAATGGCCTCCAACCTACTGGTCAGCGCCTCGTCTGTACACGCGCAAGGTGACTCGTCTGTACACGCGCGTGAGATGCCTCATCTGTACACGCGGATGTGCTGCCTCAACCTCACTCTCACTCTCACTCACTCACACTCACTCACTCTCTCACTCACTCCCTCATTCACTCACTCACGCACTGACTCACTCACTGACTCACTCACTGACTCACTCACTGACTCACTCACTCCTTCTTTCATTCATTCATTCATTCATTCATTCATTCATTCTTTCACTCATTCATTCATTAACCTGGCCACTTACTTGCTTCTTTCTTTGCTGACTTAGTCACTCATGCCTTCACATTTAGAGAAGGATGTTGCCATTTCAACTTGAGTCACCCTTTTGTGGGCAGGGGTAAAATTTAGAGAAGGATGTTGCTCTTCCAAGTTGACCCACCCTTTGGTGAGCCACCCGAGGGTAAAATTTAGAGAAGGATGTTG